CCCTTCCAAATAGCCTTTTCCTGTGCCACTTTATGACACAAAGGCAGTTTTTCACATCCACAAATATATCTTTTGTTTTAAACCATTCTTCATTGATTAAGAAATAAAGCCACTTTGGGGACAAGATTTTTTTTTAAATCATTTTATTAGGGGCTCATACAACTCATATCACAATCCATACACACTTCAATTATGTAAAGAGCATCTGAACATTCATTGCCCTCATCATGCCAGGGGACAAGATTTTTAATAATATCTACTTACCTTTTAAAAAAATACCCCCAAAAATGTATGCATATGGAAGATGCATGTAAGGAAAACAAAAATCATAAATAATCCTAGTGCCTAGAACAAGTGAAGTTAATATTTTGACATTCACTTTTCCAGTTTTTTGTGGTTGTTTTTTATCTATAGATGTTGGATTCAAACTCAAACCTAAACTCACTGAGACCCTGTAGGGCAAGTAGAAAGGCCCGGTGGGTTTCCTAAGTGAAAGTAGGGCCAATAATAGTGTGTTGAACACACCAAGTGGTTGGCACTAATCAGAGGCAGACCAGTCACCATGTATATGATTTTGTTACTAGAACTTATCTCTCGGTGGAAAGTGTGGATTGACTCAGAAACGATGCTCATGATGAGAAAGGTTTTGTACTGCAGTCGTGTTACCAAGCTCCAGTAAGGTTCCAAGAAAAGCAGCATGTCAATATGAAAACTGAATATAAAACAGTCTTCATGAATGGATATTTATTTCTTCAAAGCAGAGGTTCTCAACATTCCTAATGCCACGACCCTTTAATACAGGTTCCTCATGTTGTGGGGACCCCCCAACCATAAAATTATTTTCATTGCTACTTCATAACTGTAATTTTGCTACTGTTATGAATCGGGCAACCCCTGTGAAAGGGTCATTTGACCCCCAAGGGGGTCGCAACCCCCAGGTTGAGAAAGAAAGAGAATGAAGAAAAGACAAAGAAGAGAATGAAGAAAATGTTGAAAAACAAACTTCATCTGAATGTGAACTTCACCAGGACTAGGACAACATATTGGAAAGAATCAAACAGACTGGATTTCAGAAAATGATAGCATTCCGAGGAGGAAAAACAAGGAAGATTTAATGACCTCCGGAAGGCTGTGGAAACAGAGAATTCTGTGGAAATTTACCAATATATCAAAACAGACCACATAAAATGGAAAATTTTATACTGGGAGCTTGACAAGAGCTATGTGATCATATCTGAATTCTTTTCAGTCAAGCAGTACAGACAAGGAAGCCAGAGGTTCAGGCTGGCTTCAGAAGAGGACATGGAACAAGGGAGATCATGGCTAACGTCAGATGCATTGTAGCTTAATGCAGAGAATGCCAGAAAGATGTTTACTTGTGTCTTATTGACTATGCCAAGGCATTTGACTACATGGGTCATAACAAACTATGAATAACCTTGAGAAGGATGGGAATTCCAGAGTACTTCATTGTTCTCCTGTGGAACTTGTATTTGGATGAAGAGGGGAATATCACATGGTTTAAAATCAGGAAAGTTGTGTATCAGGGTTGTATCCTCTCATCAGACTTTTTCAATCTGTATGCTGAGCAAATCAGA